TACAGACTGTATTATAAAGTGTTTAAACTTAAATCACATAGCTAATACATTGTGAACTTGGTAAATGCTATGTGACTTAAGTTTAAACACTTTATAATATTGTCTGTATTTGGATTGAGAGAAGAGTCAGTTCGAGTCTCTGGGATTCATATGTATTTTTGTGATATAAACGTAGTTGTTTACAAAAGGTTGTTTTGATTAATTTATTTTTAATTTACAATGCAAACGAATATATTGCGTAAATGTAACTAGGTGTAGTCATATTTTTAAAAATAATTTTAATTAAGTTTAGATGTGGTCTACATTTTCATATTCAATACATAAAATACATTGACACGAGAAATAAATGCCATTTTAAATATTTTTGTGATTGTGATGAATTAAAAATGATTTCAATAAAATATTTCTTTAAATATTTAATATGGCGAAAGTTTAAAAATAGCTTTTTGGATAAAATTTTGAATTATATAACAATTAATAATGTTTTTAATGCATGCTCAATTATATTATGTTTGTCTGGATGTGTGTATCAAACGTATAAAATAAGTTTATTATACTTTTTGTACGAAACCACTACTAATGTTAAGTACGAATCAGTAGACAATATAACACTACCGGGCATTACATTTTGTGCAACAAATAAAAAATTCTCGAATAACAAACCTTTTCCGCTAAATTTTAGTACGACTATCAGGGACATGTTTCAAACCATGCAACCACTTAACGAATGGCTTTCATGTCGCATCATTAATACCAAAAATTAGGGTAATGTAAGTTGTGATTCAATTGCCAACTATAGACAATCACTAGGACGTCGAATACGTTGTTTGACACTATTCTCGCAAATTAATGGTGAATCAAATGACAATTATAATATGGATAGAAATTTGTATCTAGGTATAAATTTTCAAAGAATGTACTTGAAAGGGGTTTATATATATTGGAGGTTTGGTCGCGTAGGGTTACATTCCCGATATGAAACTGTATATTTTAAAGAGAATACACAAGGATTCAATTTGACATCGATGACTTTTAGCAAGATTACAGTCAAGCAAATGTTTAAAATCAAGGATAATATGTGCGGTTATCGCGAGTCGAGTCAGTATTGTATCGCCAAATGTATGGCTAATCGCACGCAACATATGCGCGAATACCCGGCAAACATGTTATGCTACGACCGGAACAGTAGTTTGAAAATATCCAATATGACAGTAGATATAGCATACATGGATTACTGTCGTATTCTGTGCAATAATGCTAATGATTGCATCAAGGAGTATTTTATTGTAGAAGAAAAAATAACCAGGACAAAATTTCTTAATCATATCACAATTGAACCCAAAGATGAGCCCTCATTGGTGTACGAGATATCCCTTAAGATGTCTGCCGAGGAATACGTGTGTCTTATGGCGAGTGTTATGAGTCTATGGTTTGGATTCTCTGTCATTATGTTCACGACATTTATATCTGAAATGTTTATTAAAATTAAAGCTTACTATTAATATATCTTAAAATTTTCAACACATTATAACCTATCGCCTACTCTGAATTTCAATATCAGAGTATTAAATCGAGGTACAAATAATTGATTTTATTTATGATATACTGTTGACACATAAAATGAATTAATCTATATATATTGAACATATACATATTTATAACATGATATCCATGTAATTTGTCTTGTAAATATACAATAGTTTAATTAGACCAATCAAATAAATATCAACAGGCTTAAGTCAATGTCTAATTATTTGTTGCTGTCGTACAGTAGATAAACTTTTTTTAATAAGGTTAATATCACATTTTATTTTAAATTTATTTTTATTTGAGGCGTTGATACATTAAATCATAAACTGATTAGACTAATGTTTGTAAAAAATAATGAAATTTATTTAAAATCAATATTACATGTCTTCACTATTTATCATGTAATCTACTATATTGTCATTATTTAGTTTATCTTGCAAAACCAATTCTGTAAAAGCTGTACAATATGTATGTTGTGTGCTATAAATGCAATTGATTTACAAAAAAAAGTTATTTTAGATTATTTATTTTTAACTTACAATGAAAACACATATACTGCATAAATTTAATTAGGTGTGGTTATGTTTTTATGATTATTTTGGCTTAGTTTTAGTGGTACTTTAGGTTTTCATATACACTACACAAATTTTTGCACGATGTAAAAATTATTTTAATTATTTCATAATTTTGGTAGTATTAAGATAAAAATGATTTCAATAAAATATACTGTATTCTCAAATAATTAATATGGCGAAGGTTTAAAATGGCTTTCTAAATATAATTCTCAATTATATAACAGTTAAAAATTTGTTTAATACATGCTCAATTATATTTTTTTTAATGAGATGTGTGTATCAAATACAGGTTATCTCTGACCAATCAGAGACGTGGGAGATTTGGACCACGCCTTAATATTGAAGTTCGACACAAGGCAAATATAGCTTGATGCTCAATATTGACTTAATGTCCAGGCATAAAAATGAAAAATTGCATACTCCTTAATTCTTTATTAATAACAATAATTTAATTGTTATTTCAATTGTATTATTTACAGTTAGTGGTATTTGTGATTTCTAATATATTAACTGTCAAAAATTAACTGTTATGAAACAATTAATTTCTCTAAAACATATAATCCAATCATAATTCTCTTTTCACTGATTTATGGTCATTACTTTTCGGTTTGTAATAGTATTTGTAACAATTATTGTTACATTATTTATAGCGTGTTTATCAAACAAATAATTATTATGAAGTTTAATATTTTATTTCTAACAATATTTTGTATTTATCTGTTTTTACTGTTATTATATGTGCTAGTACATTTCACAAATATTAAGTTCTTTGTGTTCGATAATCAATAATATTATTTAATATAAATTTTAATCAATTATTAGTTTTAATTATCTGCTATTTCCAAGATATTATATTTATTTGTAAAACTAGTTATCATAATATACTGTACAGGTTTAGTATCATTGTGCTTGTTAATTAGAGTATTGAAATTATTAAATTTTTAATATTTCATTTACTAAATACAATAATTATTATCTATTTATATTAAATTACAAATGAATTACTAAGTTAGGTAAATTAAAATTTATATAATATTTATTGTTATATAACTGTAAATATTTTTAAATTTAATAAGCTAATATATTGCACCATACAAACTTAACTTTAAAACAATAAAATAATCAAACACTCAACCATATGACATGATTATATAAACCCCATGCTAAGATTAAAAGTTTAAAATGTATTATATCTAAAAAATATTGACTGGCATAGGTGCAATAACAATTATCTAAAACAACGTGTTCATTATTTTTATATAAATACTCAATCAATTGAAAATATTTTATTTATTTTACACTGGTAACATTAATAAAAGTAATGAAATCATTAATACTATTCACGTTGTGTTTAGTGGCCGTAAATGCGGTCCCATTTATGGATCGTCTACGGGAGCCCTTTGAGGGCAAAACATGGGTGGTATTGGCTGCCAGTGCTAATAGCTGGAACAATTATGGCATGCAGGTACATTTTAGCAATTAAAAAAAATTAACTATTAAGTATAATAAGTTATAAGACTCTCTCTCTCTCTCTCTAAATATTTATTATAATAATTATTATTGTTTTTTATTTTAGGCGGATGTATACCACGCTTATCAAGTGATCCGCACCCACGGCATACCCGACGAAAACATAATAGTCATGCACTACGACGACCTGGCTGACCATAAATCAAACCCAACCCCTGGTATTGTGGTCAACAAAATCAACGGCACCGATGTCTACAAAACTCCATATCAAGTGCCAAAACACTACACTAAGGCTGACGTCACGCCAGAGGTTATAATCATATAAACAATTAAAACATAATTAAAAACTAATTTATTATATAATTTGCAGAACTTTTTGGCTCTACTTCGAGGGGACGAGGAGTTGGAGAAAAAGGGCAAAAAAGTAGTTAAAAGCGGACCCAATGACCGTATATTTGTATACCTGGACGACCATGGTGGTCATGGTAAGCAAACTGTTATTTTATTTATAAAATATTATAAAATTATTAAAAATATGTTAATATTGTTGCGTAGAGACCGTGGCGTTCCCCACTAGTGTACTCCACGCTAAGGACTTGAATGATATTCTCAAGGCTATGCATAAGGATAATAAGTATAAGGAACTTGTGTTTTATCTGGCTGCATGTTACGCAGGTATATAATTTAATCGTATCTATATAAGTTACTATGAAATATAATCTTACTAATGATTATTTTTTCAAATAGGCTCAATGTTTTACAAAGACTTACCGGCTGACATTAATGCCTATGCCTTAGCGGGAACTCGGCCTGATGAGTTAGGGTGGTTCAGCAATTGCGGGCCATCTAAATACAACACGTGTCTATGTAAATATAGATGATTTGTTTGTAATTTAATATGTTGTAATATTTTTTAAAATTTAAATTTTTAATATTAGCTGTCGCATTTGCTATTATGTGGTTGAATGATACCGATAGTCACGATTTGAACAAGGAAGTGTTAAATGATCAATATGAATATCTTAAGAGTAGAGGTGATATTGAAAATCAGCATGCTCAACAATATGGCGACCTGACTATTGCCAAGGAACATGTATCAATTTATCTGGGTTAGTTTTGATTTAATTATAAAATAATTAGCATTAATTTTTAAATAACATTTTAAAAATAATTTTATAGGTGATAAAGTAGTGCCACCTACAGTTAACAATGACAATCAAGTAGCAAGCTCAATGCCAATACCTGATGCACCCATTTATTTATTGCAAAATAAAATAAGAAACACAAATGATATTAATCTTACACAAAAGTTAGTATACATTATATTTATTGGAAATTATTGATTAACTTTTAAATTTATTTTGAATGTTAGATACGTCGAGGAATTGAATAGTCTATTGAATGGCCGAAAATTAATGGACAAACAGATCGAGGAATACGTAAATGAATTGCCGGGAATTGACGCCAATATCGCATTGAATGGCAAACTAGAGCTCAATCACAGAGATTGCTATCGAAAACTGGTCGACACTTTTAATGATAAGTGTTATACATTTGGACAGGTATGCTATACAAAATATTATTAGCAATTGAGTTAATATTATTATTTTACTATTGCATGTAATCCCAGAATACATACGGAATCCAAAAACTGCATATATTTGTGAATATTTGCGAACAAATGCGTGACTCGAGTGATGCGGACATTGCTGTCAACCGATTGATACAACACTGCAATAGAAATGTTATGAAACCCAATAATATTATATAAAATTATATATTAATTAATTATAAATCAATTATAAATTCTAAATGAATAAACAGCAATTATAAAGTCAAAATTTTAATTAAATCCCAAAAATTTATTTTAATATTAATTTTATTTTTGATTGTTCATTAGCAATTATTAACTAAATATAATGCATAATGATCTACATTTCATCAATTAATACAAAATAAAATTTAATACAAAGATAACCACGTAGTTTAACAACATGACAATGTTGACACTGGTAACATTTATTAAGTTAGTGCTCCCATTTTTAAAGTGTTGCCAGTCTGTACATTCCTTAGGGTACACCATGCTAGATGATTGACTAAATGTGGAATTAGCACCATGTACAAGTTTTTCAATACGACATGAATAAAGCCCTGCCATTGTACACCAATCCTGATGATAATCTCGCTCATATGGTGTTATGGCTATATCACCAATGGTATTGATAATGGTGTCTGTGGTTCCCGGGTATACAGTTGTATCAGAACCTTTATGCAGCAACATAGTATACATTTATAAATATAATTTTAAAAATACAATGTTTAAATAAATAAATAGTAGTATCTATGTCATAGATTAACATTCATTGGCTCCAGAGCCAAGTTACTCATACTTATAACATTAGTAATTGCTTAAGATCAAAAATTTTGTTAATGTATGATCTATGTAGTACGTAGTATTAAACCGTACATAACTTTGTTTGTGTTAATATTGACATACAAAATTAGTGTAGTACATACTCAGCAAGGTATCTTTGGTAGCATAATACAGCATGGTTGATTCTTTGGCAATCTTGATTAATTGAATTGATTCACCTAGACCAAAATTAGGGTTGCAATTAAGACGTAAATTTGGTGGGTTATCATTGGTCTTGGTGATTGCAAATTTGCAAACCCCGCGTTAACTAACATTGCGCATAATGACAAAGTTAGCACTGAAATTAGCATTGTAATTTATTTAAAATATAATACTGTATAAAAATACAGTATGTTAACAAATTATTAAATTTTATAATTTCTAAAAACTATTATTTATGAAATTTTATTCTACTTATATACTGTATATATATATATATAATAATGGACAGATCAATGTAAGGTCGGGAAAAGTTGAATAACTTTTGAATGGGTTATCTGATCCAAAAATGGTTTTCACCATTTTGTAGCTGGATAATGTCAAAATCTGGCGGTATACTATTTGCCATAAAAATTCATTAGAATTAATTAGTAAATTAATTTCAAAGTTTACCCAACATTTCTCATTGAAATTACATGGGGATTTTACTTCATTATTCACAATTTGCTCTAAACAGGTTCAATATTTAAATTACTGTATCTTGGTCAGTTTTATTGCGATTTTTGAAATTCCAACATCATTCTGTTTGTCACCAAAGTCCGCTTTTTATAAAATAATAAACTTTTAAAATTTAACGAAAATCTGTTTCTAACTTTTTAACCATATGCCCTAGAACAAATCTGAATAGTTCATTGGAACGAGCACAAAAAAATAAGTCAAGCCTAGATTTTGAAATATTTTTCAATTAAGTAATCTTTCAATTTATTTTAAAAACATGTTTTAAGTATGATTAGTATTATAACTTGATTAAAATTACAAAATCACATTTACAAAAATCTAAGCTTGACTTATTTTTTTGTGCTCGTTCCAATGAACTATTCAGATTTGTTCTAGGGCATATGGTCGCCCTGCTTACCTTTTGATAACTGGATCGATCCCACCTTGGTGAAAAAAATTTTTGTTTTATTTTTTACATATATTATGTATAAATTGCATATAATATTAATTATTTTGATTAAATAAATGTTATCATTCATAAAAATAGCAATTAATTTTAAAATATAATAAGAATATCATTAAATTAAACTTATAATTGTATTTTGATTTGTAGTATTTCGATTAAAATTTTATATTACAGTTTACTAATTAATAATTCAATGTTAAAATCAAATCATTATAAACAATATTAATATTACAGTTTGAAACATATAGTGCATCATAAAATTTAATTTAATGACATTCTTATAATATTTTAAAATTAATTGCTATTTTTATGAATGATAACATTTATTTAATGAAAATAATTAATATTATATGCAATTTATACATAATATATATGAAAAATAAAACAACAAATTTTGCACCAAGGTGGGATCGATCCAGTTATCAAAAGCGGCGAAAGGGCGACACTCTACCATTGCGCCACTGAAATTGGTTCAAGGTATACTGCATTAAAGTGCTATTTATATTACTAATAATCAAAAATATAATTGGGTTTTTTGGTGACCAGGAGCAACTGAATTTTCATAATATTGTGCAAAATGTTATTTTTTCATACCAATTAACCTAGTGATACTAATCTGGTATTTACAGGTGATAAAGTGGTGCCACCTACAGTTAACAATGACAATCAAGTAGCAAGCTCAATGCCCATACCTGATGCACCCATTTATTTATTGCAAAATAAAATAAGAAACACAAATGATATTAATCTTAAACAAAAGTTAGTATACATTATATTTATTGGAAATTATTGATTAAATTTTAAATTTATTTTGAATGTTAGATACGTCGAGCAATTGAATAGTCTATTGAATGGCCGAAAATTAATGGACAAACAGATCGAGGAATACGTGAATGAATTGCCGGGAATTGACGCCTATATCGCATTGAATGGCAAACTAGAGCTTAATAACAGAGATTGCTATCAAAAACTGGTCGACACTTTTAATGATAACTGCTATAAATTTGGACAGGTATGCTATACAAATAATTATTAACAATTGAATTAATATTGATATTTTATTATCGCATGTAATCCCAGAATACATACGGAATCCAAAAACTGAATATATTTGTGAATATTTGCGAACAAATGCGTGACTCGAGTGATGCGGACATTGCTGTCAAACGATTGATATAACACTGCGATAGAAATGTTATGAAACCCAATAATATTGTAAGGCCGGTGGGCGCCTCCTTACCTCCACTCACCTTAATTCACAACAACAGGTAAGTATAATAGAGTGAATGAGATTAAGTTTTTAATATAAGTTTTTATTTGTTTCTCTCGTACAGTGCGACTACTCTCAGCCGCACCACTCCGTAGAATAGTGCGGTGTGGGTGCGGTTGGGATGAGAGTGAGATGAGTATGGAGTGAGTCAGTGATGAGGATGTGCGACATTCACACCCATATGGCTGCGCCTCATCATTGACTCACAATATTATATAAAATTACATTTTCATTCAAATATGAATAAATATAAATTCAAAATGAACAAACAACAATTATTAAGTCAAAATTTTAACTAAACCCCGAATATTCGGTAAACACAGTTTATTTTAATATTTAATTTTATTAATGAAGGTTCAACCTTTTAGCAATTATTAACTAAAACACATAATTATCTAAATTTCATTAATTAATACAAAATCAAATTCATTTTGTTGTTAAAGAAAATATGCGAAGATAATTAAAATTAGGTTTTGATTATTTTTGATAATGCCAATCATATTGCGAAACTATAATACAATTCATAATCTATGATTTATATAATGGATTATGTTTTAGAGCTATTTATGAAAATGAAGCGTGTTATTCATAGTCCCCGTCCACTCAACTAAAGTTGCTATTCTGTGGGGAGGACTCCGGTAACGCAAACAAATGATTGAATGACGACATGATATTTATTAAACAACAAAGTCTTGTCGTGTAATCGTATGTACGACTAACACATACTTGAGTTCATAGCCAAAGAAAGCTTCCCTTCTGAGAGCTGCGAACCCACGTTCATGTGTGCCCTTTAAACCCTCCAGTCTATGCTATTTGAGCACAGGACCACTGAGACACTAAAATAAATAAGACTTAATAAATGCATAGTGTTTAATAAACTGCTCAAACCATTGGTTTTATCATTTAACAATGCTAGTGTTTTTACTAATAAAGTAATTTATTAAGTTATAAAGTTTATTTTTGTATTTTGTGAATGTTTTCAGATACAATTCTTTATGGCTATAATGGTATACTGTTGGGAATTGACGCCTATATTAGATTATATGAAAACTTAGTACATCTTATTTTTAACCATAACCAATTATTGTAATTTAATTATAAATGCTATAAATTTGAATAAGTATAGCAAAATAGAAAATATTTTTTAATTAATTAAAATATAAGAATAAATTAATTGATAAAAGTATCATGATGAAAACATTAATAGGCATAGCATGGTGTGAAGTATTTAGGTAGGTATTCCACTCGGCACATCCCTCTTTAAACTCCATGCTAAATGTCTGGGTGGTGTTTGAGGTAACCCCGGATCTACGTTTGTCCAATCGGCATGTATAAAAACCTATCATGGTGCACCAATCCTGGTGATGATCCTGCTCATATGGTGTTATAGTTATTTCGCCAAGTCTATTGACAATAGTGCTTTTGGTACCAGGGATTACCATTGTCTCAGGCTCTATATTAAAGATTATTATTTAAAAAAGTTATTAATTTTTATTTTTTAAGATGTCTATTTTTAACATACAATATAAACATACAATA